TATATATATATGCCGCATCATTTACATATAAAAATGTGAATAATAAGTCAAAGTGTTTAAAACCCAAATATTCTTTTAAAAGAAAAAGTTAATTGTGCTTGAAAAAGAAACTCTAATGTGCATAGAAAAATGTATGGCGGAGAACTTAGTCAACAAAATAGGAATTTGGTTTATGGTGCCTCTTAAGTTGGAAATTTCAACTTTGTATTTTGGGTATGGAGCTACCTCGCTTTACGGAGACCAATCCTCTTTAATCTGCACTAGATCACTATATAATAAGCCTTGCATGGTTATTGTTTTTTGCATCAGCGTTTGAGATCTCTCTTATTATACACAAGCACACACTTACATACACACAGATTCAAATGGAGCATTCAATGCGTCTTGTTTCAGCCACCTTCGTTCTTGTCTTACTTTTGGCCGCTACCGGTAATTATACCTCTTTTATTTAGTAATTAATTTTTTATGATGTTTTGAATAAAGCATCTTATTTAACCAAAAAAAAAAATTGATCTTTAGAGATGGGGCCAATGGGTGTTGAGGCAAGGACTGAGTCAAACAAGGCAGTTGAGGGGAAGATCTGTGAGTATCCAAGCACCTTGTTCAAAGGATTGTGCTTTTCGTCTAACAACTGTAAACACACATGCAGAAAGGAGCAATTCACCAGAGGCAAATGTAGTGTCTTCACCCGTGCTTGCGTGTGCACCAAAAAGTGCTAATTAATTAGTTAAAAAGAAATGTAATCTGTGTAGAGACCGTGCTTGTGTATTGTGATGGATTGATATGGCCCTGTATCCACATGGTTGGTTTTGCTAATAAATTGAATGACCCTGCATGGATCATTATTCATATGTCTAGTGTAGTGTTTTCATCTCGCCTGACGTACTTTTAGTCGCCTATTATCCTATATGTTTTTCTTTAGGTTATTATTAACATTCTAGATAATCACCACATACTCTTCTTTTGTATATTGATTTTCAATTAAGAAAGAGTGCACAATAATTATCGTGAAATGCTAATAACAATGTTTTTTTTTTCCTTTTTGACAAGGCATTGAAAATTTTCACTTAGTGTACTTGGATTCAACACATTAATTTAATTTGTCTCACAAGATTATTTAAGTCACATTGTCGATTTCATATGTACTTTTTTATTCACACTCTGTCGTATTAAGTTCTTTTGCCTTTTAAACCAGTAGTAATAATCGTCGCTCCTACGCCGTCACACCGTGCTGGGTTCATCCTTCCCTTACCGAGGCCATGGGCCTCAATTTCGTCTGCCATCCGCCGTCTGTTTTTCAAATGGATCTGGGTCTTGGCCTGCAACTTTATTTGCAGGCATGGCAGATCCCATTGGTTTGCATTCTCGCTTCTTCAAAAAATGAGAGAAGACGAGAGAGGGTTGATAGAAGAATGAGTGTTTAGTGCTCTGTTGAGAAATTGGGTTGGGGAGTCCGGGAGGGAAGAAGGGATGATTGGGAAGGGAGGATGTGCAGGGATGGAGGGTCAGACGAAAGATTTTTTTTTTTTTTTTTTTTTTAATTTATAAATTTTTAATGGTTTTTAAATTTTTTTAATATTCACGTGACATGTGAGCGTCACATGACCACCAGTTAAAGAAGATTGTGATGGAAAACTTTACGGATGAGTGTTTAGTGCCCTGTTGAGGACTTGGGTGGGGGAGTCGGGAGGGAAGAAGGGATGTTTGGGAAGGGAGGATGTGCAGGGAAGGAGGGTTAGACGAAAGATTTATTTTTTTATTTTTTTAATTTTTTAATGGTTTTTAAATTTTTTTTAATATGCACGGGACACTTGAGCGTCACATCTTAACTGATTGTGATGGTAAACTTAACAAATGTATGAAAATAATTATGACTTTAAGTACGATGAAAAAAACTGAATGTATGAAATTTGAAAACTAAGAAATTTTAGGATAATAAACTGAGATTAACTCTATGTTTAAAATTATGAATGATTCACCTTTTGTGCCCTCTTTTATATATATATATATATATATATATATATATATGTTCTACTCAATGGCGAAACCACGAAAGAAGTCTCGTGTCATAGACAAGGTACCTCTTAGTCTTAAATTCTAAATTTTGGTGGAATGTTCTAGTCAGTGGCGAAAGCACTTAAGAAGTCTGGTGTCATAGACAAGGTACCTCTTAGTCTTATATTCTAAATTTTGGCGGTTTTTCTCTTCTTTGTTTTAGAAAGGGTATATGTAGGTTGTAGTTACTGGAATACTTGCATTCTGCAACACAGGTGAAATTGCACAGATGCATGTATCTTGGCATGTGTACATATGCAGTCTGCATATTCATGTACAGGTGGTATCTGTACTATAATAAAGCTGATCCCTCTTTCGGGTCAGCGACTTAACCTATAGATATTGCGGTTATTGCCTTCACATCTGTAAATTATGCTAACTGAACAAAATAGTTGTTATTGTATATTGAAAATGTAAAAAGAAGAGAGATTGGACAGAATGCAAGGAAGGAAGTTGTCAAAAGGATTTGAGGGAAAGAGAAGGTGGGGAAAACTATGGTCTTTAGATGTTCTGTGCTCAAGATTTCTTTCCTCTTCACAGAATGAGCATGACCATATTGACATTGTGAAATGTATTTTAGACGATCCATTTGTTCTAAGAGAGAACATTTGCGATGTTTGATTTCTATAATACCATTCTCTATTTTATTTTTTTTTCCTCATTTTTTGCAGACTTATATTGAACCAGGGACAGGAAGGCGGTTCCGCTCTTTAGTAGCAGTTGAGAGATACCTGACAGAAGCAAATGAAGACCTGGTGTTTTCCATTCTGCGGTCCCGGATTCTGTCAAGCAGAGCTGGTCCCAGAGTTTCAAATCGTCCATCTCTGGTGGAAATATTAGTGCACCAAGTCTGTAAGTTACAACTGTTCTGCTAAAGTTGAACTTCTGTTCATTTTGCTTGGTCATTTACTATTGATGATAGCCCCCAAAGTTTTGCCGGATCCTTTTTTCTTGGAGGGTTACATTGGAGGAAATCGAATCTGACCAGCATTCGCATCTCGTTTTGAGCTAGAGTGACATCAATAGTGGTCAACTCGCAACTCTTCTGACCTAAACCTTGCATTGGCGATGAGCATAGGCCTCAGAAAGCCTTCACTGAAGAGCAAACCAAGATTTGGAGACCCTTTTTCCAAACACGAACCCAAAAATCAAGGGAATTTAACAGGTAGATCTAAGCTACTTAACATGTCTCGTGCACGAGACGTTGACTCACAACACGGTTGAATGTAACATTAGGTTACGATATGAAGGTCGCACTAATAAATGTAGCTCAGATTCACTTAAAATTCAATTCGCTATTTTCTTTTAATTACAAGCGATATTACTACTTTAAGCTATATTAAGGGAATGAGAGGGGTTTTGAACTCATAACACATTGAGTTGAAAAGGAAAACCTTATCCATTAAAGCAATTCAACACTTGCAAGTCAAGTGGCTGATTGTGAGGGAATCAAGGAAACATCACTCCAAGGTTGAAAGAATCCCAAATTTGAGTCTCACAATTGAGTTTGAATAACGCGAGAAAAGTTTGTACCGGTTGCATGCCACGGCTCTCTTTTTCATCTCTCAATAAGAGGAAGAAAGATTACGGTGCATACTATACATATGCCATAACCAAGTTTTGTTGAATATCACCCAATTAACAAAAGAAAATGATAAACACAATTTTTTTTTTTTTTTGTCTCTTGTATACCTATGTTTAATTTTGTTCGTAATTTCGTTTGATGTTTTCAGTCAATGACCATAATAAAAAAAAGTGGTGTGTCAATAGCTTAAAAGGTGTGAAAATAAGAATCACCTCCCTTACTAGTCAACTTAGAATTTGAAAGGATTTTAATAGATTTTGTTAAGTGATGAACTTCATATGATTATATGACTTCTACAAAATCCATACGGATTCTGGAAGAATTGAGAAGATTCATATAATAGATTTCTATGAATTTTGATAGATTTTACAGCGTTGAATCTTAATCGTCAATGATTATAAATGTATCTAAGTCATGCATCCACCAAAATGAAGCTGAAATAAAAAGTTAAGATTATCACATAAACCCAACTACTTAAAAGTCTCCAACTACACCCCTTTCCAATCCTATTTGCTCCCCACTTTATTCTTCTCTCTTTTCCGTTCCAGCTAGCCTCTCACCTCCAATACTTTTTTCTTTTTTGTCAATACTCCTCTAATCTTGTTTTCCGCGACTCTCTCTTACTCCTCTTCCTTCACAGCCCAATTCCAATTCCCCTTCTCTGCCATGAAGAAAAGATTGCACAAAATTGCACAAAGAAATGTAGAATAATTGCATAGGTGAAATAGAAAAATTGCAGAGATAAAAGAAAAAATTGCAGAGATCAAGGAAGAAGATAAAAGTGTGAGAGGAAGAGGAAGAGGTTCTTGGATTTGAAATCCGAAGGTGTGAGGTAGGATCTTATTTGGTCTTGGTTATATATATTTCTTGCTCTCAAATCCTGCAAAATCCACAACTTAATGAAATCTTATAAAATCTTAAATTTTTCAATACACCTAGATTTAGATGTACTTTAAAAATGACTATTAAAATCTTAATTGACTACACCTATATTTGCATGGATTCTAAAAATCCTTTAAAATCATTTGATTGACTTTAAAATCCTTCCAAATCCGAGTTTGACAACATCCCATAAATACACGAAAGAAATGCTAAGGAGACCATGTTTTTAGATCATATTTCATAAACCATATTATGTGGCGGTTGATGATTCGATATTTTCTTTAATGATTTAAACAAACAATTCAATCATCAACTATCACATTACATAGTTTACAAAATATAATTTACATAGATAGTCTCTCTAACATCACCAATAAATCAATCCAAGTATAATCATTTGCCAATAAAATAGGAAAATTGTCCAAATAATTCTTAAGAAAGCGGAATCATACTGCGTTGTCACGCTCTGTAGACCCAATTCCATTTTTTTCGTTTCTTGGGCTCTGCTGGTCCAAGGCACAGTTAACTTTAATAGCAGAACCCCAAACAAGCACATTGCTAATCTGCTACAGTGACAGCACAGTGACGATGGTGAAGGGGGAATCGTCACAGTCGGAGCCGATTCCGCTGCGAACAATGAGGCCAGGGGAAGAAGGAGAAGAACCCAGAAGCAGTGGCAGCAAAAGGCAATTGCAATTGGTCACCACCTCCCGGTCCTTCAGACTCCCCGATGGTTGGTTGGTTGAGGAAAAGCCCCGTCCCCCTAGCTCTACCAACCCGCGCCAAACACATAGCGACAAGGTTCGATCTTTCTTTCTCTCTCTGTAGAATTGTTCAAATTGGAAATGCACGTACAATGTATATCCTTTGCATGCATGGATCCTGGATCATGGATGGATGTATGCATGTATGGATTGTTGTGGTTTTTTATAATTTGGGGTTTTTCCAGGGTTTTGACTGGTGCTCAAATCCATATGCTTTCCAGCATTTTAGAGGTTCTGGGATGTTTATAATTATGGGTTTGTGGGCAAATTTCATTGCAGAGTGAATAACACTGATAACTTGTTAGGAATCAAACTTTGAAATCAGAAACTCCAATCATCGTGTTCTTCTAAAGTGACCGTAAATTTCATCCACAAAGCATAATGCTTGAGCAACAGCAGTAGTTTATGCTACACATCCCACATTGCCCACATTGGGTTTTTAGGCCACGCAGAACAACAGCGTGGTAGCCGTTTGCACTACTGTGCAAATGGATTTTATGAGTTTTTTGGAAATGAAAATTTATGTCATCTGCAGTTAGAGTCCTTTTACCATACGGTAATGTATATAGTATACGATGCCTTTTATGATTGAAGTGGATCACATCTACCGGTTAAATTCAGCAATGTATGTCATACATTGGTGTACTGTAGAATTTTAGCTGCAGTTGTAATGATAATCAATAATATCCGTGCAAATCTTCTGCTACCACACCTACTTAACGTTGCTATGTCTAATGTTTCTTTTTTGAAAATTCACCAGAAAGATTATTATGTTCTCAAGTTCTATTAGATCTTATGCAGCCAGGTCTCAGACTTTTTATTTTGTTTTGCAGTATTACTATGAGCCTGGCACTGGACTGAAGTTTCGTTCGCTGGCAGCTGTTCAGAGATACCTAACAGAAGGGCAAATCGAACAACGTACCATAAGATCAAAACCAGGCAATGAGTGTAATGTGAGTTCCAGGATTTACAGTTAATATTTAAAATTTCTCTTCCACTATAAGTGTTAGAGTGGGAAGAGAAATTTAGAAACAGAGGAAACATAAGTTATGCTTAGTTCATCACCCACTTGTATCCTCTGCACTGAATATACAAAATCTCTACAACTTTGGATTCACTCGCATGGTTTACTACCACTAGATTGAGGTACCATAACTGTTTTTTTATGTTCTCCTTGTTTCATTACCATACACTTCAATATGATTCCCGAACTAATTCATTTGTTCTTATATATTTGAAGATGTAATAAAATTACAATCTAGTGGAACTGTTTGAAAAAGATAACCATGATGAAGGAGTTAAAACAAATGGATGTTACGAGTATCTCTGGTCACCGTTACAGCAGTCCGAATTGAGGAAGAAAATATTGCGATGCCTAAAATATTAGGGAAAAAACCTTATTGACAGTGTCAATGCAGATGCTGATGACACCACGCACCAGGAGGGCCACTTCATCCTTTGTACTACCTGATGGTTGGGAAGTTGAGGAGAAGCCACGAAGCAATATCAATTATTCTGGTCACACAGACAGGGTATTTGTTCTTTTTCATTATAGTTTTGGTGGGTTTTCTCTTCTATGTTGTAGAAAGGGTATATCTAGCTGTACATGCTTAAAATACTTGGTGAAATTGCAAGGATGTGCGTTTCTGGGTCCTCTGTGCATAACTGCATATATACATGTACATCTTATGTATACTATTCTAAAGCTGATTGCTCTTTTGGGTCACTGACTTCACCGAAACATATGTATTCTGCAATATAGTTACTTACGTTAACTATGCAAAATGGTTGTTATCATATATTATTGGAAAATGTCAAAGGCACATTGACATGTGGGAAGGTAAAACACTTGGCGACACATGTTAGGTTTGGGACACCGCCAATTTGGCGTGCCCATTTCATGCAAGTCTCTATAACGGATATGCTGTTTTCTCTGTTGAGTTGGAATAACAATTGGCATTTGATAAACTTCTCTTGGCGGACATTTTATATGCTCAGATATGGCTCTCTTTTTATGATCCATTTGTTCTGAAAGAAAACATTGTGATGTTGGTTCTTGTACACTGCACTCCAGAAACGTAATGCTTTTTTCGGGTGTTGCAGTATTATATTGAGCCAGGGACTGGAAAGCGGTTCCGTTCTTTATTATCTGTTGAGAGATACCTAACAGAAGCGAATGAAGATTTTCCCCTCAAGGCATTGATGCCTGCCAACAAGTCTGGTGTAAGTTCTTTTCCAATTCCTGATCAAACAAAAGCTTATTTTCTCCTCCATTACGCTTGACCTTGTCGAGTTTCACTTGTGTTTCAGCTTTCGCCTGGCTCTGGCGTTCAAAAGATGAACAATTTGGGCGAGATCCTGTCCCAGAAAGTTATTTCTAGTTCTGTGAAGAGAAATATTTCAGGCGAATATGATAGACCCTCCAAGCCCATCCCACCGGCAAAGGTTAATTGGGTCCTCGGCGGTCCTGGGGGGAATATGTGGAACGCCTTCATGGACGACTCTAAGGTCCCGGATTCTGTAAAGCAAAAGTGGTCCGAGATTTTTGTATCATCCGTCTCTGGTGCAAGCGTTAGTGTACCAAGGTTTTAAGTTATGATTGTTCATCCAAACTCATGTAACATAATGTTTTCCCAGATCCTAACTTTTAGAGATCTGTAGATGTATGATCGAGAGATGTGTTGTTGTAGGATAAAGGAGCAGTTTGCACATCATTCAACTGAGAAATACAACATCGAAACGACAATGCCTAAACGATAACACAATTTGGATCATATCCTCAGAAAACTTATGTTTATTCCAATACAATATCACTGTCAGGGGCTCACCTGCTAAATAAACAGCCTACAAGTCAGAAACTAAAACTCGGGAAAACCCGACTTCAGCTCTATAATTTTCGGTATGAAATATGTCGTGAAAACAACTTTAAAACTGAAGACTACAACTGTCTTTGATACATAAAACTCTCATAAGAAAACGGAAAAGAAACAAAATCAAGGTGGCATTGGCATCCTTCTTCCAGACAGGTAGAGAGACAGCTTTTCTCTTAGATGAACGCCGTTTATGTCAACAGTTCCACAAATCTGTTGGCGGTATTCTGAGTCATGTTTGTGAGACTGAGGCATCTCGTCTTGAACCCCGCCTTCCATATCTATAACAATGTTGTGAAGCAAGCAGCAAACGAGAATGATCCTTGGCAATCTATGTTTGTCAGGTCTCCACATCACTCCCTGAATGATCCTCCACCTATCCTTCAACCTTGCCAATGCTCTCTGCGCTACCTTCTGCGTAGCATAATGCCACTTATTGAACTGAGCTTTCGGCTCTGGGAGTTCTTTCCCTTCATAGGGGATCACGAGATAGGGCAATAAAGAAAACCCCAAGTCCCCAAGTATGTATTCCCGGATATCCAATCCTGTGGAGAGCTCTAACCTTTTCCCATTCAATCTCTCACCTCTAGCACAGAGTTGATAAAAATTCGAACTCTGAAACACCGACCAGTCCTTCATTTTTCCTGGCCATCCGGTAACTATGTCCCGAAACCTCATGTCAGGGTCCACAATGGCTTGCAAGACCATGCTGTGATTCTTCTCTTGATCGAGCCATGCGTTACTTGTGGGGTCTGAAGCAGGCAAACACATCATGATGTGAGTGGTATCCACAACTCCGCAACAATTGGGAAAGCCTCGTATTTTCTGAAATTTGGATTTAACTTCTGTCATTTCTGCTTCAGTGGAAGGCCATTGCAGGTGGTGAAGTCCTCTTTCTTCCATGGCTTCGACAAATCGCCAGGTCACTTGGGACACAGTTGAGTGGTTCACCCCAAACGAATCGCCAATTGTCACTAGTGACTCACCCGAGCTCAATCTTCTTAAGGCTACAGCGACTTGATCGTGCAAAGACAAGGGCTTACCATTTGTAAACACAAAATGTGCCGACTTTGCCATCATATCTTCACTCACAAGTGAACAGATGTAGTCGAAGGTTTTCCTGGATAGCTTAAAAACAGATTCAAACTTGTCTAAAACCTTTGATGGAGACTGCACACCTGCAAACAGGATGGGAAAGAAAAGAGGAATATTATTATCCCCAAACGTGAAGTACTTAGAGGTGACTTTGAATGCTTTATGGGAGTGTTTTACGACATTAGAAGTAACAGTAATCTCAAATATGAAGATCAAATTATTCAAGCATAAACTTTGATCATTCCTTTATGGAACCAAGTGCAAAACTGAATGGAAATAGCGGAGCCACCATAATCAGGATATACTTTTTTCAAATCCCTCATCCAAGCGTAAGGTAAGTGTCAAAGATGTATAATTAACGCATCAAATCCCTCATCCTAACTGATATGTCAGTTATATCAAAACATGAAACTGATTTGTTTGCATTTCTCTGTAACAATTTCGATAATTTATGACAGCAATCTGGTTGATAATTTGCACAGAAGAAGACTCGCTTGTAAATTCAGTCACTACTTGAGGAACCAAAAATCATGGTGAAAATGGTAAAGTCAATGCGGTTACAACCTAACCTCTAACTACAAGAAGGGAATTTACGAAATACATACACACTTCCGATATTGCTCATAGGTTTACGGATGGTACAGTTTATGATCTTTGAGACTTACCAACCCATGAAGTACAATACTTGTACAAATGATGAATAAAATGTTTATTTCTGTCTGCGTTAACTCTAACTGGTATAAAACAAATTACTCTAGTTATAAACTTGGTCTCTTTCCCTACACGTGTTACTATGTTCATCCATATTAATATAGTTTTCACGCTTATCTGACTCAGATACCCTTGTGTCTGTTGAACTTGACATATAGACTGCATATTTCAAGGACTTCCAATATTATTCTTATCAAGAAGAAGCACTTTGTCTCCTCCTTTCTTTTTTATTTTTAACGGGGCCGGGCATATGCCTTATGTTCGATCACAAACTTGACATAGGCAACTACAGTTACATATATATTGGCTAACTCAAATCATATCAAGGGTAGTTGTATGCACAATCAATCTACAGTGCCCTCCAAATTAATCAACAGCTTCTGAGACAATTTCAGAAGGAACACAGAAATGGTTTCTAATATACAAAAATTAACAAAAAAAAACCTTCAAATAACTCCATGATTAAGTATTCTTTTGTGAATTTCACTCCAGCCCCAGAACTGCATATCAAATCAAATTAGACCTAAAAGTATTATGTTTCTTTTAAGTTCCTTGTACCACTAGGGATATACCTTCTGAATAATGGAGAAACTTTTAAACAGTTTGTACCTAAGTCTCTTTACAACCAGCTCAACACTTTATCAATTCCCACATCGTGTAACGCTCAAACTAATGATTATCGGCATTTCCAAACTTAAAAAGATAACTGAACTTTTAGTCTAAACTTTTACAGTGTCTGTATCAAGTAAGATGATCATTTCTATGTGGACAGTAGACTGCCATCTTTAATAGCTAGTAGCATACTGTCATTACCTCAAGATTTCGGATTAAATGGGTGTTCTTCGAGCAGTGTTATTGTTCAGTCGTTAAGTATGTTGATCAGTAATGAAAACAAAAATAGAAAGACAGCTAGAATTCACACAAGCAAACTTCTTCACAAAATTGAAATGTTATATTACGAGTTAAATACCTTTGAGTTCCTGATTGCATAAATATGATAACAATGAACCGTCCTGTTAATTATAAAATGCATAAATGCTGCAGGCATTGTAGAAGGACCTATTTGAGTTAGACAGAACATAATTAATATAATCAATCTTATCTTATCCTAAACTTAGTATAATTAATCTTATCTTTTCTAATATTCAAGAAGGCAATGAAGCCAGATTGTTAGGTCAAATTCAGATTAGGGATCCTTCTTCATCGTGCATAAACGCATTCGCAATATATCGACACAGAAGTAGAATGCGGAAGAAAACATAAACCAATTTGAATTAGACAGAATCAATTTACAGAAGTCCATTAAACATTAAAAGCACAAACACAATCAACATAATATAACTGTTGAAAAAGCTGAAAATAAAGCAGCATATCATAAAGCAAAAATAGACAAACAAAGCAAAAACAAATTAGAGTAAAAAAGCAATCAAAATATCAAAGGAAACAATACCATTAATTCTCCTGGAGAATTCATCCCACCAATCCACAGGACCTTCCTTCTCTGATGACCCAGAACCAGAAGCATTCTCCTCACCCTTCTTCTCAGCCTTCTTTCTCTTCCTAATCCCTCTCACAGGACCCATCAGCGCACAGCCCACAACAACTAAATCGAATCAAAACCCAGAAACCCTCCAGCTCCAAACAACAGGAAGAACACAAACCCTGATACAATTCATAAAAATATCAAAAACCCATCTGCCATGATACAATATACGTGCTGAACAACAAGCAGAGAGATCAGCAGAGAATGAGCAAAAGCAGCAACATGCAAAAGTGCTTTTGAACAGCTGTTGCTACTCGCAGTGTGTGTTTTCAACGGATGTTCTGAAACGTACAGGAAAAATGGAGAAAAATAGAGAGCCTTGATGAAATAAATAGACGAAACTACAAGTGAGAAAAATCCAAACTTTGACATGTGGGTTTGTGTTTGTTTAGGACAATGTGGCAACACGAGTGAGAGACATGGGCATTGCTGCTTTTGCTACAGATTATATATCGATATATCTATATATATGTATAGCCACACTATAAATATAAATACACAGAATTCAGAGAGAGAGAGAGAGAGAGGGGGGGTGAACTTTACAGAGGGTTTTAGTGCTTAAATTGGTTGGACACTGCCTTCAAATTTCGAGAAACGATGGGGAAACCAGAAAGCAAATTTTCCCATGGGTTTCGATTTGTGTCGGATGAACAAATTGAGGGTCAAGTTAATATGTGGAATGACCAATATGCCATGAACTCCTAGTCGTGGCCAAATTCCTAGATTTGGTAAAAGGAGTGTAAATTCTGTTATACACTACATGGCATCGTGGAAAAGTGGATATTTTGCCTTCTACCACGAGAATTTTTCAACACGGAACACGATATGATACAGTAAATGTAATATTATAATTGATTGGACACAATTTGATACAGTGAATGTGATATGACATGTGGTGTTCCGAGCCGTGTTCTCAGAACATTAAAAATAAATAATGCTAGGAAGATTAAATTTGAAGACAAAGTTTTGAAAACTAAAGAACATGGAAGTTGATAATTAATTTATTACTTAAATGTTGATAAACGAGTTTATTCCTATTGGTGACACGTAATTTAGTTTACAAATTTAGTCTCCCTAGCATTACTCTTAAAAAATTTCTCTTTACCACTACTATTTTTTTCCTTGTTTCTCCCTTTTTTCTTTTTCTATAAAAAAGGAAACGTATAAAACTACATGAATATATCATTTAACGTGTATTCTAAATTCTCGATCTTTTAATGTAAATATATGGTTGTATTAAAATATATTTATGAAACAAAATTATTTTCATGAAAATATATTTCCGTATATGAAATAGTAGGAAACTTGTTTAGGTTAATAAATAATTTTATAAGCCAATGAAAACAATTTCCTCTTCAACTAAAACTTCTAAAAACAATTTTCCTCTACAACTAATGTCGATATCGCTTACCAGAATTTTCCTTGATTAATTTCTTCTTAAAACCACAAAGTATTGATTGACCCAATCCTAATATTTGTAAATATCTTGTAACTTAAAACAAAAATTGCCCCATGAAGTGAAGAATATCTACTTAATTTGGCCCGCCACAAGCACTATGGTCTAGTCGACTTTCATAACGATAAGTTTTACACAAATCCTTTTTATCATTTTTTGGTAAGTAAACATGTTGAGCATACAATTCTTCATCATCTGGTAATCGTGGGGCGCCTGCTATGGGGCTTATATCAAATGGATACTTCTGACGAAAAATATATATATATCGAAGGATACAACATTGAACGAACATTGATTTATTTAAGGAAAACAACGTGTATGACACGGGTACATCGTCATGGTAGTATCTAATGCCAATGATACAAGGACATAAAGTGACACTAACACATATTTTATATAATTAGCAGGAGACGCCACCGTAACGATTTATCCTAACCATACAAGTATTCTCCTACTCTAGGACTTACAAAGAACAGACGACAACATCTATCTTCCTTAATGTACATGTTTTCTTTCGTTTGTCACTAGTGTAATTCTTAGTCATTTTCTTACACTTATCATATCGACCATAAACCTTTTCGTCGACGAGCTTCAAGTGCACATGGACTCAGATGCTGTTCAATCGTGTACTGATTTTTACGTCGTTTTCTGAAAATGACAATAGGATGTAGCAAGTTATGAACATCGTGGCAAGACATGAACGTTTTTGTTTAGAGAGATTCTTAGCTATTTTCGGTTTTATGTAATGTCAGAAATAAGAAACAATGGGATATACAACCGAATACATAGCATATTATTTCGCGTGTTTGATCAGAACGTTTCTTAGTGCTTACATTGTGCTTGTATTGGATAGTGAGTGTCGTTTTGCTCCAGCAGATGAAGCCTCCGCATCAGTACAACATGAAGTGCTTATCTACTAGCCTTTGTGGAGCAGTTCAGCTTATCAAGAAAGTAGATGATGCCAATATTTTCTTTTCTTTGTACCGAATTATACTTAATAATTTAGGAGCTGTTTGATAATAATTTCGTTTTTTGATTTTTGTTTTTTTTCATTGAAAACTTAATCTTATTTGGTAACTGTTTTCTGTTTTCAAAAAAATTATAACTGAAAACTACTTTCTTGAGTTTTCCAAAATTTGGCCTCGAATATTCACTTTTTGGCTTTCAATTTCATTTTTTTGAAAACTGAAAACTAAAAATAGTTACCAAACAAGATTTCAGTTTTCAATTTCACTAAAAACAAAAAAACTGAAGACGAAATAATTATCAAACGCCCCCTAACATTTATGTTCATATTTACACAATTAGAGAAACCAGAGTTCAATAACCATTCAAGTTAATAAATCGATATGGAGCCACAACCAATGTTCGGCTAAGCCAGATTCTCAAACAGCAAGAAAGAGTGCATAATGATTATTTTGGATTGCTGGGTACAGCTTCCTAGAGTACAAGTCTAAAACACGGATAAAATTTTTAGAAAAACGATACCGGCAGAGGGAAGAATCAAACTTAAGACCTTGGGTGCAGGAATTAGTGCTCCTGTCCCTTGGCCTACAAACGCCCTCTGTGATAAGGATGATAGTTAGGCCTGGTTTGGTACTGAGGTGATTCTGAAAAAAAACTGGTATCAAAAAAAGCTGGGAGCTGTTTTTGTGTTTGGTAAACATTCAGCTTCAGCTTTTTTTCACAGTTTTGGGTGAAAAAAAGCCAAAAACAAGAAGCTGCAAAACCCAGCTTTGAAAAACTGGCTTTTTTTCACATCTGTTTTACATAAAAGTTTACCAAACACTATAATACTGCTTTTTTTTTTTTCAAAAGCACTTTTACAAAAAAGTTTACCAAACACTTTGCTGCTTTATTTCACAGCTGCTTATTCTCACAACACAGCAGAAGCAGCTTTTTTTCAAAGCACATCAATACCAAACCAACCCTTAGTGTTTCCTCTTATATCAAATATCTAAACTTATGTTTTTACCAAAAAAAAATCTAAACTTGTGTAAGGTTTTATGGACCAACAGCTAGCTCTTAGTTACAAGAGTCTGAAATCCCTTGTTGATCAAATGTGAAAAAAGAATATGAAAGATTTTAGTGAAGTTGGCTACGGAAGTATCTGCATGCAAGCTCAGATCTCCTTTTCCGATAATTTAGATAAATTAATGTAATTATTCTATCGTTCATTAAAAAAAATGGCATTTGAATTAGAATGGAAGCCAGAAAAATAATAGCTTTGATTTTGGTGATAAAGCCCAGAAAGTGCATATGGACTGATGATTTACTTTAAACTTGGGCAAGGCAGAAATAAAACAGCCCAAACCATTAATGGGAGAAGTAAAACAAGAGAAAGAGAGAGGAGTGGGCTAATATTCTGTATTGATACATATATTGAATAAACGATATTAGTTATATCAAGGGAAAGAAGTTAGGCTTAGTCTCACGATGGAATAACAATAATGTGGTTCAAAATCATCTTTGGCGAGAATCGAACCTAAGACCTCTCATTTACAAGTGAAGATGAATACCACCAGATCGTAGTATTAAATAATAATCTCAACAATAATTAAAATATTGACATTCATGAAGAATATTTTAAAATGGCAATAATAATTTTTAAGAAAAGACCGAATATTAAGTAAAAATGTTAGCCATATATTTCATGTGAGCGAGCGACTAAGTAGATATATCCTTTTTGTTTGTGGAGAAAAGTTCTCCTAACAAACTACCAATAAATGTATGGTCACTCGTATTTAAATTTGATATTAAGGATTGAAACTAAAACATTAAGAACGCATCTATCTATTCCTCATCCTTGATGTCAAATCAAAAGCCAATGCCAATAAACATTGGTCACCGACCAAGTAACCAAGAGAACAAGACTGTTTTTCATACTATATTAACGTCATTACAAAATGTGGAGGATCACAATTATTATGTCTTTTCAGAGTAAGAGATAGTCATATCATTCGTTGAACGCAATCATAAAACATTTTCTGCACTGAAGAAAAAAAAAAGGGAAAAAAGAAAGGAAAAGAGGTACATTCTTGATCAACACAAGCATGGACAATTGGAAATTGTGATTTCATATCTCTAATGCCATATATAGAAGCACCTCTACTTTTCTACATCATTCCACACTCAAAACCCTCAATTGCCTCCTACATAAAGAACCACAAGCGAATTCCCCATGTCTTTCTTTCTTGGAGGAGGAAACATTAACCAATTACCTCTCCAATCTCAAAAACATGGCTCACGTGGGTGGTCGAAAACGATGCGCTTTGGATGCCTAGGACATTATTCTTTCCATTACCCATGTCCTAAGGTCAAAAACTCAAAACAAAGGCACAGACTTTAGCAAATATTCACATAAATCAAGGAACAAACTTCGGTCCCCCATAGAAACCAAGACGCAACTTCAACTCTTCTAGCTTTCGTAAGATTCCCACGCCCCATGCTTTGTTTCCCCGTCGAAGCTTGCGCTCATTGTGCCGTGAAATGCAATGTGCTGCCTAAAACGCTGCCGCCGCCGCGTATTTTGCCTATGCTTCTCGTTATCATTCATTCCGCTATTTTTCCAATTTCTGGTTGTGTTAAGCTAAAAAGATGTGTGCATGACATGTATAGAAGACTGGCCGTAACACAGCTCCGCAACTTATTGATGAACCTCGAGTCGTTTGCTCCCTCCTACATGACTACTAGTACAACTACCATCACTACTAGAGGCGATGTGGTTGATCTCTCTCTTGGTGGGTATTCCTTTGGGTTTCCTGGGAATGCACTTTGCTCGCACTCCACCTTTCTCTGTTTCCTCCAATTGCAGCTGCGCACTCCTGCAATTCCATGCATATTTTAAATCAATTAATCAAAATTACTACATAAAAAAATTGATTAATCAATAAAATTGCCAAGAAAATCATTTTTTTTTATCAATAAAATTAAACAAAAACTAATTTGACTCTCTAGTTGGTATGAAAGAGATGTTCACGTGACGATTTCACGGATTTGAATTCCATTTCTGTCTGCACTGAATATTTATAGAATTAAATCCTAAAACTGCAACTGTAATCTGCTAAGATCACAACTGCAGGGGCCCACATTTTGTAGATAACAAGCTTAATTAAGGTCACAAAAATCCTATGATGCTCCAGTATATGACGTACCCCAGTGGAGAATTAGCATTAAAAAGTTAAACTGTACATTATCCTTGATCCATACCAAAGAGTACAAATCTTCTTTGGACCTAAAAAACAAAGCCCATGGATCAAATGTTCCGGACCGTTGAAATTTAATTTAACGGTTACAAATAGAAGCTCCTCTAAAGTTATAATAATTATAACCGTTTCATCAAATTTCGACGATCTGAATCATTTGATTCGTATGCTCCGTTTTTTTTGATCCAGAGAGTATCTATACTCCATGCTAAAAACTAGAAATGGCGTTCAATAGGAAAGGCAGAGCCAGCTGGCGACGTCTCAATTAACCGTACGAATATTCATTCAAAACCGAAAGCAGACCAAACGGACCAAACGGACCAAACGGGCTATCAGAGAATCAAAATCTTTCTAACTCGAATCTCGGGAAAGCCAGGGACAGAAACCTTTATTATGCAATAAACTTGCTTAAAGAGGATAAGCATTTTCAAGGTGAAACTTCAAATCAGCTTTTTACCTACCTTACCCATCACCTACCACTGCAGATGCTTCTAAGTTAAAAACTTAAAATGTGTGCCTACTTTTACCAAAATATTCATAAAATTATAAAAATAAAACGTTGAAATTCTACCGTAAAATTAATAGACTTGCTGAAAGAGTATAATCATTTTCAAGATGAAACTTCAAATCAACTTTTTACTACATGAACTTAAAAGGTAGGCCTTGTCCAAATGATGGTACAAGATAAAAACGTAGGCCCCGTTCAACCTTTTACCTACCACTGCAGATGCTTCTAAGTTAGTGTGTGCCTACTTTAACCAACAACCTTCATAAAAACTAAAAATTCACTGCAAATAATTCCAAGTCACAAAGTTATCAAGTCAACGATGAAATGAAAATTTAGACCCGATTTATAGCAACATTTTTAAGTTTATAATAATTACAAACAAAAATTGATATAAATGCACTGATATGTCCTTAAAAGTACTAACACACCAAGTCGTCACCTGCAATTATTAGCTATGCTTGTAATAAGAAAAAATTATGAGTTCAAAGTTGATAGATGACTAAGGATAGATTGAAGGTTAGATGTGGGGATGATAATTTCAAACGGAGACTTGCTATTGACTTTCTATCTATCCACTTTGAACTCATAATATCAAAGTACATTAGTACTTTTATATCAACTTTTTGTTGTAAAAACATATAACTATAATTCTATTTAAGGCCCAAATTTTAATTATTTTTTAAAATTTTGCAAACTAAAAAATATATATTTTAGAATGTTCATAACAATTCCGCTTCGATAAACAGTATTAGAAGAAAGCAACTAAGCACACAAAATTAAATGCATAAGCAAACTTACCTATCTGCATTGTAAGAAGAAGACCTCTTTAAAGACGGAACCGCCTCTTTCTTGGTCTCAATTAAGCTCCCGCTAAAATACTCCTTATCTTCCAATTTTACCCCCGCTAAATTCGAAATTACGCTCTCCGTCCCGACCTGATTTCCGGTCACGCCACGTGGCAGCCTAGGCTTGTAATGCCCAATCAGCGAGAACCCCTGCTCCCTCACCGCCGTGGATCCGCAGTCCCTGAACGAGATCGAGCCGCACGATAACAATTGCATCAGGACTGTTGACGCCTTCATCTTCCCAGTTGGACAGATCTCAGCCGTCTGGTTCACTGCCTCCTCCTCGTTCGCCCCGTTCGAGCAGAGCACCAGCCGCCCATCCGCCTTCATCAGCGACTCGAGCGTTTCGGGGCTCGAATCAGACGGCGGAGGCGAAATCTCGCCCCTGCTCAGCTCCGTACTCTGACTCTGAATCCGAATCACCTCGCGCTGACTTTGACCTTGACCTTTTTCCTCGTGCTCGTCTCGAACAACACGACGTCGGTGCCGTTTTTCGTCGGTCTGAGTCGACGCGTCGGCGGCCGCTTTTCTGGCGGACTCGCCGACTGACTCGGTCTTGTACACCTTGTACTCGTTCAAATCGATCGAATTCCACGACTGGTTTCGCCGGCGTGAAATCACCGGAGATTCGAAATCTTCGGCGGACTTCAGCGCCTCTGGCGGCGGTCTCAGAGACCTCGACGACGCCGCCTCGAGAGCCAGATGGTTCAGCGGCGGGTCAAGAAGCTCCGACCCCTTGAGCACGTACTCGTCGCCGTGCGACGGGTGTATCAAGTCGTCCTCCGTCAAATCATGCCACACGAAGCCGGTTTTGTAGCTCCTGAAATTTCAATTCCAAAGAAGTCAAGCAATCAGACCGTTGAAAAAAAAAAATTACTAATTAGATCAGACGGTATCTGAGAAAGCTCGCTCTTACCGTTTGGAAGACCAGGAGTACATCAAAGCCATGCCCTTGCCACGTAGCAAGTTCAACCGGTTAATAACATCTGAGGAGCGAAACTTACAAATTAAGTTTCTGTGATTTGGGCCTGTTTGGTTGCCAAGAAAGTGGAGAGAAAATAAAATCTTACCTTTGAGAAAGAGGCCACGGGGAGAGGAGAGAGGGACTTCCATGAAGTGAGGGTGCTCGAGCTGGCCGTTCCTGGAGAGGTAGTAAACGACAGGGACTTTTTGGGGAGTGATGGGGAGACTGGGACCAGTCTGGGCCGAACTAATCCGGTCCGGACTGGTTTCCGAGTCGCGCCATTTGCTGGGGATTTGGAGGTGGGAGGGCCGGCCTCTGGAAGTGACAGCCATGGCTGATGGCTCTGTAGAAACAAAGAGTTTGGAGTCAGAGAAAAGAGCTGTTTGGTTACCGAGAAAATTGTGTGGGGGTGGGGGGAGAAAAAGTGCGGGAAAATGACTGGTGGGAGAGAATTTAGGAGAGGAATGTAATGGGAGGGGAGAATATATATGGAGGGGAATTAGGGGATGTGTGAATCGGTAATTGAAGATTTTGGAGGGTACATATTTATTCAAAATGGGGATGCGGCAGACAAACGCTACCAAACAAATGAGGGCCGTTTCAGATTTCAGAACCTTGTCAACACCTGCCACTCTCTCATTGTAAATTATTATTTTTTAAATTCTTCGCACAATAAAATTTTTATTTTTTTAATTCTTAGATCCAAAGAGCAATAAAAAATCTACCAGTTTATAGACTTGTCTGGAAAGTGCATGAAACATACGAAATTCTATTTCGAGAAAATATTTTTGAAATTAATTTTTAATAAAAATGTAATTTTTTTAAAAATATCGTTATTTTTATACTAAGAAGAGGAAAATATTCGAATTTGTCATTCACGAAATTTAAACCTAAGACTTCTCACTTTCAAGTGAAGAAAAATACCTCCATATCTTAATACTAAGTGACAATAAAAATGCAACTTAATTCTAAATCAAGTGTGTATTTTAAAAAAATGATAACGACTTGCTCACTTTGCATTGTTGAAAGTGTGTATGCTTTGTTTGAGGTGCTCCTAGTTTTAATTAATATTCTTGATTTTTGATTAATATTCACGATTTTTATCGTATTGTTGAAGCTTTATGAGAAAATATTAGTACCTCATATCACTTTACATTGCAAACTTTTTCATCCATTTACGGCTCGTTTACGTAATCGTAATCAAAATACGAAGAATTGGATTGAAGATAAATTGGATTGAGAAAGAGTTGAAATAAGGAAGGGTCAAAATTCGATTCCTGTTAAAACTGTTTAGTTAAATATTCTGGAATTGGAGTATGAATGAAATTGAGTTCATATAAGTTGTTTACTAGTTCACCTGAATCGAAATAGCAATCAATATAATTACTAAAATACCCTTTAGTTCTTTATTTTTATTTTTATTTCATCTATATTTATTTTAATCACATTTTCATTAGTTATTTTAAAATGTCCTCATCCACCTCCTCAGCACCGACATGGCAGTTCTTGCTTTTAACTTCAATCCTCCAAAACCACTCTCCCGGATCATCTTCCAGTTCCCACCCTGCAGAAAAAATTAACATTTTAAGAACCTAGCCTATGCATCTTCCCAGTTCCCACCCTGCATAAAATATTTCGGAAAAAAATTGGAGCCAAGGACCAGACGAGCGTCAACATCGCCAATGACACAAGCAATTTGGCCCTGAACTTCGAGGTCCTGATTGTCAAACCAACGTCATACGAGGATGAGCCGGCTGTGTTGGCGGTGTTGAAGCATCTGCCGAAGCATCTGTGAAGACTCTTGATAAGAGGGCATAATAGGAAAGAAGAAATGCATCCCCGATTCCTTCACCATCTCAGAATCCAAATACCACATCCATGGAGGGAGTCAAATTCCATTTTTCGTGTGGGTCCCACACTCTATTGATTCCTCTAAATTGTAGTAAACACAAAAATTATCCGTAATTGGAATATGTGTAAACATGCCCTTAATGTATCATCAAATCAACATATAATTGACAAATCCTAACTTTAAAAAATCTCAATCAATCCTAATAATTTCAAATAAGAATGATGAACCAACTTTACGCAGTTCATGCAATTCCCCAAGAATTTTTTCTTGAATAAAAGGAATAATACTAGACTTTTTAAAGGATAAGTTGATTTTTTACTCAAAACTTTTTGTTGTTGTTTTATAGAATTTTGTATTTATGATCAAAATCTTTTATAGATTGACTAAACGATATTAGTTTTGATTCATTTTTTTGTATAATGAAATTTTTACAGAGTTGTTCATAATTGAAAAAGTTTCGATAATAAACTTAAAATTTTATAATTCAAATACAAAAAATCTTTAAGTAGCCAAATATTGTTGAATTAAAAAATCCATTGCAATTAGATACTTTCTAAATAAAAAAGCTCTCTCACAAAATTCAAACCCACTAGATGGGTTGACCAATATGTCCCTTCTTTGTTTAATTGTTGTTTACTGCTTTGGTCTTGACTCTTGGGCCACCTAACTTTGACTAGAAACCTTAATTACTTTTCAACATCCTTTCCGCAATTTTGAAAAGTATATAGAAACCAAGTGGACCCAAAGCTGACGTGGCCTTACCTCCTTAACCCAATTAGTTTACTAATATTCCAATTTTCAAAATATTTATTTATTTATTAATTTCCCATCACATCACATAGAATGCGATCCATACCCATGAATCATAGTGCTGAGAGAGATTGGACAGCTCTGATTTGAGTTTTTCAGAACACGTGGACGGACCAGATCAAATGAGGCTGTATCAGAAAACGTACAGACGATCTGGGAGCGGATCTGCACTGAAGTCTTTAGGTGTGCTGTCTTGCAGTTATTGTCATCCTCCTTCCCCTGATCTTCTCAGGTACTTAGACGTCGTCGTTTCTGGTGTACGTTTGAGAGTAGGGAAGTCATGTGGGCCCCAGCTTCTCTGCAAGCCAAATTAATCTTGGGGCCCGTTTTACTTTGTGGGTCAAAAACGTGGGTTTGGATTGCGAATTAAACCGGGTCGTTAAAGTCCAAGATATCGGCGAAACAGTCCAGGGTTCAGACCACATATTTTCCACAGGGTTTGACGACTGTTCGCACGTGCGGATGCACATGCTCTCACGCTTCACATTGCGTTCATAGCGGAATGTGAACTTCGTTGTCTTGTCTCCACCGACACGAACACACTTCCATAGATGAATATAAATAAATAGAAGGAATTAGATGTTGCATAGAGCTCTTTCATCAATTACAAAATTAGATGAAGTATGTCTGTGAGTTTTTCGATCTCTAAAAAATATATTGTCGCGCAGAAATCATCAGCTAATTTTGTTTTTTTTTTTTTCTTTTAAAGAATTAGTTAAGTTCACTACAATTACGTATTTCTTCTGTTTTTCAAGTTTGAATTTTATATTTCATAATTTATATGAATTTTAATGTAGAAGGTCGCTTAAATCAAAAAACAAAATTAAATTTTAGATGTTGAAATCTTGAAACATGCGTGGCAACGCTAGCTAACGTAGATACGCTCCTCCTTGTGCGTTTGAGGTGGAATCATTCTTTTCGCTGCTAGGCTTTTCTTTTCCAATTAGGAGAACTTGCATATCTTTGTGGCTTTCAGGAATGGACGTTCTCTTCTTGCTGCATGTAAAGAAATTAATAGGTGTCCTGTACGACAACGATGATGGGAACAATTGGGGACCTAACTAGGTGCACAACCATTTGACTCGTGTGGTATCATGTACAGTACGAGTAACGAGTTCAATCCATCGGGCAACACTCTTGTCCATGGTGGTGTACAAAATGGGCACAAGTGCCTTGACATTGTAGCGATAATATCTATTGTTGAGCACTTGGCCAACTCATACTCATTGTTTGCTTAACGTCCATCTTTATCTTTTTTGCCATTTTAATTGTATCTATAGGGTCAATTAAGCAGGGGTGAGGCATTTTGTCGAGCACTTGACCAATCCATACCTATTATGTGCTTAGCGTAATGCAAATATTTATGCAGTCGCTTCGGAAAATTTTAGTTAACCAGTGTCATTTGGATGGGAAGAAAACTGCAGGAGTTCCGACTGTGATTCTTAAAATCCCTTATTACACAACCACGAGAAGATTTTACCCTTTCAAGCTCTTTCTGTAACTAATGTTTAACAAATCCTGAACATTAGGCCATCTCAGACGTGTTGACATCGACGACAATGAATGAATCATTTCTTCGGAGACTACGCAGGACAGGCTATACAGTCGCTCAAGTTCCCTGCAAATCTTTCTTAAAAGATCATTTGGAATCTCTGTCACCAGTTGATTACTTTACGACCAAGAAACAAACACTTACATAGATAATAAACCAGAAAAAGAAAGAAGAAGATTTCTAACAAAATCCCGCTTCCATATTGTTAACGGCAATAGACCTGTTCGAGATCAGTATATTTGCTGCTATAATCGATTTTCCATTGCGATGCTTCAAATGGGGAGTAGAGAGAATTTTCCATTTTCTGGACAAAAAGAGAAGGAAAATATCCAATGAGGCATCGAGTAGCAGCACAAGGGACACAAGTGACTGGTCTCCAACCACTGAACAATGCAATCTCTGTGATAAAATGTAAGTATGGCAAGTGAATGACTTCAACACCAGCAAGTGAATGACTTCAACACCAGCAAGTGAATGACTTCAACACCAGGCTCAAACAGCTTCGAACAAATAACACTCTCCCGAAGCTTCCGAGCTATCAAGTCTTACTCTCTCCAAACCATCAATGGATGATTTAGTTGCAGAACTAGGCTTGACCTCATATATTTTCATGGATTCTCTCGTAACCCTTTCAATCACATCAATCGGTTTGCCAATATTTCAATCACATCAGTCGGATTGCCAGTGTTTCTGCGCATTCGCAAGTAACCTCCTCTATTTCGACAACAAGAGGCAGCATGGATAGGGTTGATTCAACGTAATTTTCCAACAATGACTGGCTGCTCATCTACTGGGACATGCATTCCAGAAAGAATTTAGTGATTACCAAAGTACCACTTTCGGATAATAGCATTTTGTAGGGCGTAAAAATTGACTGGAAGTGCGTCAATTAAAGGCTGAGACTGCCGGGTGATCTTGGGTTTGCTTATCTTCCACACATCGGTTTTCTGCTGCACATCGCTACGATAATGTAGGTGACTTATCATGCCTGAAAAAAATTGGAAGTTGCAGAGAAGCCAAACACTGCTCACCAATGGGGGATGCTAATTGAGAATCTGAAGTATTCAACAATTTGTGAATATCTGCAGGGTTCATGAGGTGTTTGCGTGCATATACATAATACTAATATATAACCCTAATTTCCACTAAATCAAGTTGGACTAAAGTTTTCTAGACATATTC